AACTTATACAAACTGCAATAATCATCAAATGCAATTACATGCTGTAACTGATACTTACAATGAAAAACCAGAAAGTAGCACGCAAAATTACAGCATAGCCATTGCAGCAAGTCAACGTAAGCGATGTTTTTTTTTGTAGTAATAAAAGTCTACATCAACGCATAAAATGCCCTGCTTTTAACGCAATATGTCAATTATGTTCAAAGAACTTCGCTAATGTTTGCAAAAGTGGTAGACTACAGAACTGTAAATGCTGTAGACAGTGAAGTTGCGGATGTTATTAAAACCAAATGTATATCTGCTGCATCTCCATCTAGCTTAAGCAAAGCGACAGTGCCTATTATGATTAATGAATTCCACGCTGAAGCTCTGATTGACACAGGAAGTTCTGTCAGTTTTATAAATAAGACATTAGCCCAAAATATGAACTTAAAGATGAGACCTCATAAGCAGGCTATATCTTTGGCTTCCCTTAGTCATATTTCTTTTGTAGAAGGCATTACATATGCAATTATAAATTTAGACAAGCATACATATTCAAATCAACCTTTACTGATTGTCAATAACCTATGTGCAGATGTTATCCTAGGACATGATTTATTGAAAAGCCACAAGACATTAGAATTCAACTTTGAGGGTTCAAGGGATTCCTTAAAAATATGTGTTATGGAAGCGTCAGTACCTCCTGTATCGTTGTTTACGAACCTTTCTCCAAACATAAAGCCAATTGCAATAAAGTCAAGGTGTTATACAAAAATTGATGAAGAATTTATTAGAGGAGAAGTTTCTATATTGTTGAAGGATGAAGGATGAAGGAGAACCAAGTAATTCTCCTTGGCGAGCGCAAGTACTAGTAACAGGAGGCACTACACATCGAAAACGTTTTGTCATTGATTATTCCTTAACAATTAATAGATTCACTGAACTCGATGCGTATCCACTACCTAACATTGAATCTATGGTTTCCAACGTTGCAAAATACAACTATTTCAGCCAAATTGATTTAAAGAGCGCTTATCACCAAGTGCCGATTTTAGAGACTGAACGAAAATATACAGCATTTGAAGCATGTGGGGCCCTATATCAATTTACTCGTATACCATTTGGAGTCACTAACGGCGTGGCTGCGTTTCAGAGAACGCTACAGTTCATAATTGAGGCTGAAAATCTAAGAGGCACCTTCTGTTATTTAGATGACGTGACTGTATGTGGCAAAAATAGAGACGAACACGATAAAAACTTGCAGCAATTTATGAATGCTGTGAAGAAATACAAACTTACGTTAAATGAGAAGAAATGCACTTTTGGATCAAAAAGTATAAGTCTATTAGGATATTACATTGAGAACAACGTTATCAAGCCAGACAAAGAACGATTAAAACCACTATTGGATCTCCCTACTCCAACAGATGCAGCCTCATTAAGATGTACTTTGGGTATGTTAGCTCACTATTCGAAGTGGATTTACAATTTTTCATACCTTATTAAGCCTTTGATTAATAACACGATTCCCACTTAGCCAAGAAGCCATAAAATGTTTTAAAATTTTAAAATTGGAAATAGCCAAAGTGTCCCTGACAGCTATTGACAATGACGAAACTTTTTCAGTAGAAACCGATGCATACGAGCACTCAATAGCTGCAACCCTTTCTCAAAATGGTCGCCCTGTAGCTTTCCTTTCAAGAACTTTGTCCAACACTGAACGCGGCCATTCATCTATAGAAAAGAAGCAAGCGCAATTGTGGAAGCACTTCGTAAATGGCGTCACTATCTTATTGGAAGAAATTTTATTTTGATAACCGATCAGCAGTCTGTTGTTTTATGTTCAATCTAAAACATTCAAGCAAAATAAAAAATGAAAAAATTGAACGGTGGCGCTTAGAACTGTCTTGCTACAAATACGACATAATTTATCGTCCAGGTCGACAAAATACTGTAGCTGATGCATTATCAAGAGTATGCGCTCTCATGAATCCGAATAAGCTGTATGAACTACATGACCAGCTGTGTCATCCCGGTGTTACCAGAATGGTACACTGGATAAGATCAAAGAATCTTCCATATTCTGTTGAAGAAATAAGATTAATGACAGCATCTTGTAAAGTATGTGCTGAGATAAAACCACGGTTCTGTCAATCAAAAGGCCAGTTGATAAAAGCTATTGCTCCATTCGAGAGAAAAATATCGATTTTAAAGGCCCACTCCCATCGAATACTCAAAACCGATACCTACTGACAATTATAGACGAGTACTCGAGGTTTCCGTTTGCGTATCCCTGCAGTGATTTATCGGCGGCTACAGTGATACGATGTTTGAAAGATCTTTTTCACACTTTCGGATTTCCATTATACGTACATTCCGATCGAGGTACGACTTTTTTATCAGAAGAGCTAAAAATTTTCTAACGCCACTTGGAATAGCTACAAGCAGAACCACACCTTACAATCCTCAAGGAAATGGCCAAGTTGAACGACTAAATGGCACATTATGGAGAGCGATACAACTCAATCTTCGTCCAATGCGTTACACTCACTTCGGTCGCTTTTATGTACGACTACAAACGTCACTCCCCATGAAAGAATGTTCAGTCATCCACGTCGTTCGCCTAATGGAAAATCTTTACCTACGTGGCTTATAAATTCTGGACCTGTACTCATAAAGAAAAATATAAGAACATCCAAATATGATCGACTTGTTGAAGAAGCAGAAGTTCTTCACGCAAATTCAACTTACTCGCATGTTCGTCTCTCTGATGGCCGAGAATGCACTGTATCCAATAGACAATTGGCGCCCCTTCCTATGATTCGGATTAGTGAAGAGGAAAATGAAAATGGCCAAGATAATGGAAATAATATTTGCCCTAATATGAATACAAACAATGAGCCAGTAGAACCTGTACAATCTAAACAAACCGAAAATGTTCAAAATAACAGTACAGAGCATGATACAGAAAATAGCGGACTTCGCCGTTCCACTCGTGACAGACGGCCTCCCTCATATCTGCGCGATTATGTTGGAACTTAAAGGACCGGTGATTGTAGTATACTTACCTCTTTGTTATAATATACAACCCTATTCATAATTGCTATAAACGAAGATATCTGTCATCCTAAAATATTATTACTTGTCAATGTATTTTGTCTTTATAATGTATGTAATCTTTTATGTTGAATAAAACCAAATATCCGTTGGTTTTGACTTTCTTTATCAATAAGTGACCTGTGAATTTGTTGTGATTGTGATTACACCGATTTTCTTCACGCAACCTGTGAAGAAAATCGGTGTAATCAGTTAGTCCATCAGCAGTAGTTTCAAACAATTCGCCAGTAACTTACGCGGTTCTTCATAACCTTTTTTTACATAGGGAAATGCCTACGCATAGCCGCCTCGCGGTGTCAAGGGCCGTTTATGTCGGACTAGCACCGACTAAAACCCGATGGTGTTCCACCTTCGCCGCATATTGGCAGGGCCACAGGAAGGTCCACTCCATAGCAGCCTCTCTTCGAAAGAGGCCCGCCTCCTCCTCCTTATTGTTCGCCATCTAACGTGTGTGTTATTGACCGATCCTCCCCTTCGCTATCTAGCGTGTGTGTTATTGCATCCGTTCTTAAATCGTTCGTTCACCGTAATGTGTTAGACATTAGTTGTAAACTGGTATACAAATTCTGAGCACCTAAATTGTCGCATAGAGCAAGTATCGTGGAATTTCTTAAAGGCTGAAATAATCGGCATAAGTCAAACGCTTACGATCAGGTGGACTATAAGTTCGTTTGTCACTTTACTATTATATAAAAAATGATATTTGATTATCTTATTACGATGGATATTTGATGTTCATCTCCGTGTAACGAGCGAACTTTATGCGTATTCTCTTATTATTTATTATTTAGTCATTGCATATTGCAACCACGTCATTTTCTCGCCGCGATATCGCAGACCATGTGTGATGCGCATTAGATAAGTAGTAATAGTATGTTTCTTGAACAACAACTGCACTAGTACTTCTTATTAGTTTGTGAATAACAACAGCCATCAAGGTTTTAGCGGGAACTTGACTCCTGTTTTATCGTTTAAATAATGGTTTGAATACGGATTCTGATACGTAAAAGTGATATGATTTTGTTTATTACGAAGTGTCTGCACATTTGAACTATAAGGACAGAATTATGGGAACGACAAAACAAGTGTTCCGATGTTGATACAAACCCAAGTTATTTTGTTCGTTTTGGCACCTTAAGAACTTCAGATACTGTTGACAAAACTCCCAAAATCTTCTTCATGTGACGCATCGACATCTTGTAAAGAAGTTTTGATACTTTTTTGATATAGTTTTTATTATTACTTGACACTGGCAAAAGTATAACCTCTAAATCCATTACCAAACAAAAAAAACGACGTTCAACTTTGAGCATACAAAATAGCTATTTTCTATGCTCAAAGACGTTCAAATTGACAGGGAGTATTGGCGGGAAATTGACCGGCGGCGGTTTGCTGCTCCTGTATTATTGTTTAAATAATGGTTTGAAGTGGACTTTGATATGTAAAAGTGTTGCGATTTTGTGTATTAAGTGTCTACGCATGTGAACTATTAGTGGAAACAGTGAAACAAGTGCTCTGATGGTGATGGATTCTCAAGATAAGCTGTTTGTTTGCATAGGCACCTTTAGATACCATCGCCAACTATCAGCTGTCTGCTGGATCAAGTTGCCGCCAAAATCTCCCAAGAACTGCACAATGTGACGCATCAACATATTGTGAAGCAGTATACTATGAAGGAGTGGGGAAATTACAATAAACCGAATAAAAATACTTAAGACTTGGCCTAAAGGTCTAGATACCAGGACATAAACTCCAAAAAAAAAATCAAATTGACATTAATTTAAAACCTTGAATTTAATTGCACAGCTGTTCAGTTTATATTTATAAATAAATTATTTATTTGCTGTGTGTTATTTAATGATCTTTTAAAACACTTGGTATAAAAAGTGCAAGAGGTTAAAATGTCTGTTTTAAAAAGAACAACTTTCAAGCTTATACAAACAAAAACCTCTCATCCAATGTGCAGGATCCGGCGTTTGAGTGTTAATATGAAAGCTGCTCCAAATAACGAAAAGGATAAAAATAAACAGACTCATTTTGGTTTTGAAACAGTTAATGAAGAGGAAAAATGGAAAAAAGGTTCAAAAATTTATATAATATATATTTATAGATCTTAAACCAAAGCTTTATGAAGGTTATGTATGTTTTATAAACTACCAAACGACCATCAATTTAAATGCCCATATTTATTTTTGTAGATAGTACTCACTAAAAGAAAGCGTTTTGCAAAGTTTCAATATGCGGAAATGTGTACTTTTAGAAAAAAAATATATTGAAAATCAATTATTTTTGCAAATTTATGTCAATTCCTACGGTAAAACTGACACTATTTTGTATTGTCATTGTCATCGTCAGTAGGGATGTCGATTCTTTCCGAAAAAGATCGATTTTATAAATCAATTAGAATCGTAAGCTGATGTATCGATTCACAAAAAAATCTATTTCTAAAATTTCGATATTTTTTCATGTTTGCATTTATAATGGAAATATAAATCCATTTTATGAAAAACCAGAAAGATACCATAGTAAACAATCTCTTATTGAAATTTGTTTTAATTTATTTATTTTTATTAGGGCAGATAACAAATAAAATAGGTTAGGTTCAACTTATGTCAATGAATGCAAACATGAAAAAATATTGATATTTTAGAAATAGATTTTTTTGTGAATCGATACATCAGCTTACGATTCGAATCGATTTAAAAATCGATCTTTTTCGGAAAGAATTGACATCCCTACCGACGATGACAAAGACAATACAAAATAGTGTCAGCTTTACCGTAGGAATTGACATAAATATTGCAAAAATAATTGATTTTCAATAATTTTTTTCTCAAATAGTACACTTTTCCGCATATTGAAACTTTGCAAAATGCTTTCTTTTAGTGAGTACTATCTACAAAAAAAAATATGGGCATTTAAATCGATCGTCCATATTGGAAAGTTTATCCCAGCATGATTCTAAATTAGCCCTAAATTTATCTTCTAGGGCTTAATCATCGCTTACCACCAGGTGGGATTGTGGTCAGGCATTAGCCTAAAATAAGTAAAAAATGGCTATGTGAGAGGAGCAGCTAGTTATCATGATTAAGATAATAATACAATATTTACATAACTCAATCATATTTTTGCTGTAAAGTAGCCACAGGAACTTCCACTACCCCTTATCATCCTGTGATAAGTAATGGGAAGACATAATTTTACCACTTGTTTTGCACAAACATATTTAGGCAAAATTGGAATAATTATTAACAGATTAGTTGACGGCTCCGTGGGGCAGTGACTTGCAATTTGATTGCAGCGCTAAGGGCCGCTGGTTCTTCCCACACAAAACAAGTATTTGTATGGCCTAAAAATAATTGTTACGGGTTTGGATGTTTGTTCTCATGCAATTTATGTATGTAAACTGCCACAATACAGGAGAAAATCCTAGTGTGAATGTTACGTTTAAAAAAAAAAGTGGTGGTGTAATTGTAAATGTATTCAATACTCATTACTCACCTGGGTGTTGTAAGAAGCAACAGGGGGATACCAAAACAAGAGATGAGCAGCAGCGTCTTTCTGATAACAATGGGATATTATATTAAAACTGCAGTTGTTAACCTACTTACAGTATGGTAACTGTGGCATATGAGACATGATGCAATCTATGGGAGAGGCATATATTCAGCATTGGACTTTTGTATGCTGTAATGGATGGATAGACTAATGAATAGAGGTGTTATTATTATTACTATAGATAAAAAGCATTGCAACTATGGCAAATATCATCTCTATGAGGTGTCTATCTTCTCGTCAGGTATACCTGTAAACCTGAAAATGAGATTGTACATCCAGTGCGTGTTGCCAATGATGACTTATGGATCTGAGATGCGGTCCTACATTGCTAGCCATATGTGGACGCTCAAGGTCGCTCGGCAAGCCATGGAGAGGGCTATGCTCGGGGTTTCTCTGCGTGATACACTTAGAAATGAGGATATCCACAGTAGAACCAGAGTGACCGATATAGCCCAACAGATTAGTAAGCTGAAGTGGTAATGGGCCGGCCATACAGGTCGAAGAACCGAGAACCGATGGGGAATAAAGATTCTCAAGTGACAGCCTCGTACCGGTAGGCAAAGTGTAGGGCAACCCCTACTAGATGGAGTGACAACCTGGTAAGACACGCAGGAAGTTGATGGGTGCAGGTGGCTCAGGACCGTGCTTTGTGCATTCCTTCAGGAAGGCCTATGTTCAGCAGTGGAGTTGTGAAGGGCTGTAATGATGATGATGATGAGGTAATCTATAGAAGATCATATAAAAAATCCACGCTGAATATAGGCATTCAGTGTGGATTTCTGAAATGCTGTAATGGTAATGGTAAGATATTTTTTTAAGTTTTCGAATTCAGTGCTTGTTTTCTATCATACCTGATAATTTTTTGCCTGTTACAGAACCTATAATAACAATTTAAGTTTTGCTTTTAGTGCATCAGGTATTTGAAACTGTAGCGGAAAAGTATGATGTTATGAATGATGCTATGTCACTTGGCATACATAGGATTTGGAAGGATATCTTTATGCACAGATTGGCACCTACACATGGAACAAAGCTTCTTGATGTTGCTGGTGGAACTGGTAAGAAATTGAAGGGATTTCAAGGCATTGTTTTATAGTTTTAGGCTATACCATACCAGTGATTGATTTTTTTTAACATCATTCAAATTCTATTATTTATGTGTACGTATATCAAAGACAAATACAGTGAGTAAGGTGTTGTAAAATTTTATAGTAAGTAATATGTAATATACCAAAGTGTGGTGTACAAATTTTTATCTATCAGTGGTTGGCATTATTATTTCATTATTTACTTACATACATTCACTTACATTATTTATATCCCTAACCTTAAGTAGGTGAGATATAACATAGGAGTAGAATCTAGATAGGTGCCATCTCAGATGTGACACTTATCTAGATGATGTTTAATATATTATACAATCAATATATTTATATATGAGCAAATATTATCTGATAAAAATTTTTAGGTGACATCTCATTCAGATACATAAATTACCTAAAAAATTTGGGCCCACCTCCAGAGAGCAAGCAAAGTAGTGTTACAATTTGTGATATCAACCAGTCCATGCTTGATGTCGGAAAACTTCGTGCTCAAAGGTAGTTTGTAAATATTACTTTCATTTTTTTAAACTTTCATATTTTTATACTTTTGAAAATGAGCACACAGTCCATGTGATAGTAAATGGGTACTGAGGAAAATAGACACCTAGAATATCCATTGTTAAACCAGAGCAACTAACATAACCCAACGGCTCAGTAAGCTGAAAATGCAATGCGACAACCATATTGCAAGTATTGCATATTGCAAATACCAATATTAGGAACTGACAACTGATGGGGAAGAAAGGTTCTCGCGTCGCAGACTTGTACCGCCGAAGTGTAAGGCGACTCCCACTTTATTGTTAGATGACCTGATAAGAGATGCAGGAAGTCGATTGAGCAGTAGGCTCAGGATCATGCCTAGTGGTATTCCTTGGGGCAGACCAATGTTCACCATTGGACTTGGAATAGCTTGTAATGATGATGATTATTGTAGACACCTACATTTAACCTTGTATAAATCAAAATTTAGATGCTTTATTACCCTTGAGAAGTAAGATAATTAAATTACTTGTTACCAGTAAAAACTCTATAAAACAATAAACAAAAAGGTGTTGCTTGACAAAATATCCATTTTGTTTTTTATTAGCAGATCCCAGTCGACTGCTCTGATTTCTCTCATAATAGGGAGGATTTATGTGATTGCAGGCCAGATATGTGTGGCAGGTCTGCTCAGCCGGGGACGGATCACGCTCTCACAGAATACCATCGTAAAATAGCATCTTAACATTGCTGTGTTCCGTATGGTGAATGTAGAGGACCGGAGACCCTTTTTACTGGAAAAGAGACATTCCATCTTAGTCCTCACGGGTGACAATGCATCTGCATTTTGATTCACAAACGAGGATAGATGTAGATGTCTATGGGCCGCAGCAACCACTTACCATCAGGTGGACTGTTTGCTCGTTTGTCACCCTGTCCTATAAAAAAAAAGAGATATTTGGCACCTTTTATATTTTCCCACATCGCCGGTCAGTGTTAAACCTGGTATATGTGAAATAGTTATTGGTCCTTCGGAAGCCGTAAGAACTCTGTGTTTTTCCTTTTAGTATGTGTCACGCTGTCACGTCATCTCTGTTACTTATTGACTTCTAGGTTACCTTAGATAGATAACGACGGGCTGTTTTCCGGAAATCCACATCTAAGCGCTTATTTTGCGTGTGGGCAGGATTAATGCAATTATTCGAGCCATGAAATCTCCTCGAAGAAGTTCAACAATCCTTTGATGTTGCAAGCAACTTCGGGGAGTGATCCCGGCGTGGCGAGATGCTTAGTCCTGTATGTATCTCCGGACACGTCAGCAACACGTGGTCCGCCGTTTCTTCCTCCCCCGTACATGCCCTGCACAGGGGACTATCTGTAACACCTATGGTAAATAAATGTTTCTTAAAGGAGATATGTCCTGTGATTGTACTTGTTACTATTCTGATCTGTGGCTTGTTGAATCTCATTAGAACCTGGGTTAAACGACTGTTTATTTCAGGCAGGGCCTCCCTAGTTTGTCTACAGTCTACAAATTTTTCCCATAGCTGAGGTTTTGTGATGTTTTTACATACCAGTGAACAAACGTTACCAAAGGGGATTGGTGTGATTGGTTCTATTGCAGAGTCACATTGTTGTGGTTTACATACCTCATTTAGTCGTTGACGGCATTCTTATATTAGTCCCGAGTTTACCACATTGCAACTCAGAGCTTGTAGTACCGTCATGCTGTCGGTCAGTTTTCTGATGAAGGAATCTTTTACTTTCCTAGCATCTATTGCTAAAGTCGCTTGGATGATACCCATACATTCTGCCTGAAAGACTGTGTTGAGGGTATCCAGCGGTACATATATGGATATTGAGGTCTTCCGAAACAGTTCCGCATCCTGTACCTTCATTTGTTTTGGAACCATCCGTGAAAATTCTGAGTTCTTTTGGGTAAACCCTCCGGCTGGTTAGTTTCATTTAATTGTATCTTGTATTTCTTATCAAACACAAATTGTTTATGGGTCTTATCGTATTTGTAAGATAGGAATTTTGGAGTAAATTCTGTCAATTATACCTGTATGGGGACTCTACTCATATTCCATAGATTTAGGGTTTTGAGTCTGATGGCAGCTAAAGTCGCTTCTTGATGTATGTGTAGTTGAAGTGGAGTTAGCCCCAGCATAGCTTCTAAGGCTGATGTTGCTGTGGTTCTTATGCAGTCCGTGGCAACCATGCATGCCAGTGTCTGTAATTCTTAAGCTTCTTAATGGTGGTGGCTTCATTTTTTTGGTCGACCATACCATAGCACCGTATGTGAACATGGACCGAATCACGATTTTGTATAGCCACAGTATAATTTTTGGCGTCAGACCTCATCGTTTACCAATCATGTTTTTGCATTGCCAGAGAGTTATAATGTGTTTATTCTAGTTCAGTTTATTGTCCAAGCTAAATCCTAAATATTTTACCTCAGAGGATAGCTGGAGTTTTGTGCTGAAAAGACTTGGGACGTGATAGTTATTCAGCATTCATTTTTGTGTGAACATTACTAGAACCGTTTTATTTGGGTTAACGGTTAAGTCATATTCCCTGCACCATCTCTCCACTATACGGAGAACAGCTTGTGTCAGGTCGCACACCGTGCTTGTTGTCTTTCCAGAGACCAGTATTGTCAGGTAATCTGCATAACTTACTGTGTAGAAGTGATTGGCATTTAATTTGCTGATGAGTTCATTAATGACCATATTCCACTAGAGAGGTAAAGAACCCCACTCTGCGGGCATCATATCTTGATCTGCATTGTTTGAGATTCACCAGCAATCTTTATTGTTAGTGTACTGAGCATGTTTACAAATCCAGTCAATCTGTACCGATTCAACTTTATATCTACTTAGTGCAACTTTTATGCTGGAGAAGTTCGTTCTGTTAAAAGCACCTTCTATATCTATGAAGGAACCTTGACATATTACTTTATTTTAGATGGCCTCTTCAGTCTTTGGTATTACCTTTTGAACTGCTGATTCTGTCGATTTACCTAAGCTGTAGGCGTGTTGTTTATCATGTAGCCGTATGTTCATTATCGCCGACCCCCTTAGTTCCCTTTCACACATCCTCTCCATCGTCTTTAGGAGAAAGGATGTGACGCTAATGGGTCTATAGAATTTAGGGTCTGTATAGTCGCTCTTACCTAGTTTGGGTATGAATGTAACTTTCACTTCCCTCCATCCCCTAGGAATATATTTAAGAGCCAGACATGCTCGCATTATGGCAAAAATCTGACTATTAGGGCTTTATCCCCCACTGTAGCAGTGCCGGGAATATGTCGTCTGTTCCTGCCGCCTTATAGTGCGTGCGCCTTATGTGTCTGTGAATTGTGAATGGTCCAATGGATTTTACCAATCGTTACCACTCTGTGCTAAATTCCAGTCTTCTGCTTTTGGTGTCAGAATATCGTCATACCGGTTTACTCCCTGATTTCCGCAGCAACCTGGGAAGTGCGTTTCAATTACGATGCGTTGGGTTTCATCCGGCGATGTTGAGTAGCTTCCGTCGGGTTTCTTTAGAGAGATGGATCCCGGCGTGTTTTGTTTAGCTAGGATTTTCCTTATCCGATTCGCTTGTTCACAGGTTTCTATGTTACCACAGAATTCATGCCATCCTGTCGAGGGATATCGACCTATAGTACGAATAGTAAATAAAGTGTAATGGTGACGAAAAAAATTCCACTACCCCATATCATCTCGTGGGTGTTGTAAAAGGCGACAGAAATTAAACAGGAAATGGGCAGTAGCATCTTCTTGATAAGCACTGACTATAATAAAAAGCTATGGGTGACGCTTTAGGTTGACTATGATAGACTGTAATGAATAAATGGATGAATAAATAAGATTCTTGTATATTTTTATAAACCAAATGCATTCTAATAATTACTACATATGATGACAGTTAAAACGTATTATTTCAGGCAAGGGTATACAAAGGAATCATGCGGTGTCGATATAGAATGGATGTGTGGCGATGCAGAAAACCTTTCCTTACCAGATGACAGCTTTACGGCTTACACAATAGCGTTTGGAATAAGAAATTGCACACATGTGGATAAGGTAGAGTAATGAAACATCATCATCACCATCATAATCATCATTACAGCCCTTCACAAATCCACTGCCGAACATAGGCCTCCCCCTCTTATGGCTTCTGTAAGTACGAGGCTGTCACTCGAGAACCTTTTTCCCCCATCGGTTGTCGGTTCTTCGAGCTGTATGGCCGGCCTATTGCCACTTCAGCTTACTAATTCACTCTGGTTCTACTGCGGATATCCTCATTTCTAAGTTTATCACGCAGAGAAACCCCGAGCATATACCCCCCCATGACGAAATAAAACATAAGATAATTAAAATTAAAAATTTTGAAAACCCCCGAAGCAAAAAGAGCTGATGATCTTCAAATGCTTAAACAGATTTTCTTAAAACATAGCTAAGAACACTCACGATTAACCGATTCGTTGCGCCACCAATTATCGACAACTTTTAGCTGTGGCGGCGAACAAATATTTCACGACACGCCGGGCGTGTCAAGCGCCACAGACAGACGCCTATTGTGCCATCCGCCATGTGTAAAAGTAATGTTCTTTTTTATGCATTTTTTACTTGTTTAGACCTAATGAAGTTTATTTGACATCAAACATAAAGTTACAAATGGAAGGATACTTGTTTTTAGTGGGTAACTACGTGTTTTTTTACGCGTTTTCTTTGAAATTGAGAGAAAGTTATTTTTTTTTTATGAAGAGATTACAAACATTTTGTACTATTTTTTGTTGTTATAAAAAAAATCATTTATATAAGTAGGTACAGCTAAATCACCCTGGAAACCGTGGTTTTTATTAAATTAAATTTTAACCTAATAATAACATTTGTAAATATCAAACAATGAAGAACCTTAATTTGAAAAAAAAAGGTATATCATTCATTGATATTTACAAATGTTAAATATTATTTAATGTTATACAAATGTAAAAGTAAAGTCGATCTGAAAACGTCTAATTAGTAAGAATAGCAAAACAAGTGTTTTCAAAAGGAAAAAAAACGCGCGGCGCTATACGGCGGCGGATTGACAAAAGACTATTTATTAGCGAACTTTTTTTATGCATGATCGGTTTCGAACTGTTTCAAGCAAAAATAAACCTTATACCATATCACAAGAGCACATGGTACTTCGTAGGTCTATTCGGCCATATGATAGTAATAAGTTCAACCATTTTAAGCAAAATTAAACAATAAGACAAACGCATTGTTTTTTTTAACAGGAGATTTGTTTTCCAGAAATTTATTTACTTGTTATTTATTTGTTACTTATTAGACAATTTTTCCATAACATGATTTAAAATCCACAAAGTAAAAATAGTACCATGAAAAAAAGGTTGTCAACCCCTAAAAATTCAAATTTTCAAAATATCCAGAAACGAAGCTGCATGCATGAACTACTCGCAAAATAATGAATATTTTGTTCTGGATAAATTTTCCGAAAAAGCAATTTGAGCGAGTTATAACGATTTTTAAAAAGACACGACTCGCGGTCATACGCCACACACAAAAGTAATCGATGACACGCCTGGCGTGTCACTCGCACTGAACTGTTTAAAATCCCTTTCAAACGACAAATATTAAATCGAAATCAGTTCATGTTTGGGCGTTGAGAAAAGGGGAGATCTCCCGCAGGGCAAATTATTCAGGAAGGGGAATGCCCAACCCTTCGTGTGTTATTTTGGAGCTCTTTTACATATATAGCGCGTTAACTTCAGAACTTTGATAGCGCGATTTTGGCTTCATTGCGTTTCGCTTACGGCGCGATAGCGCCGCCACATTACCCCGCTCATGCTCAGACCGGAGGCCAGTGGTGCTGTCTTAGTTGTTGACGAATGTGCAAGTGCCAAGGAATTACCTTGTAGTCTGCGGTGAGTTTAGAAGGCAAGTAATCTGCGAGAGCGCCGTGAAACAAAGGCGAGCAGTAAGATTCAGAGCCGTGCCGAACACTGTAGCGCAGAGTAGCTTGAAGGAACAGGAAGCATCAAGTGCTGCGATGAACCTTGTGAAACTTGATGATGATGATGGCTTGCAGGTTCTGAAGACTGCAGACAATATCTGCTCGGGGGCGAATGGATGGGGTACTTGAAGACGATGATTATTTCGCAGCTGTTCTATATGAACGCGCTAACTTCAGAACTTTGATATCGCGGTTTAGAATTCAGTGCGTTTCACTTACTGCTTGACGACAGCGCTGCCACACAACCATTCAGGAGTTATGATGCCACAGACAGACACACAGATAGGTACTACAAAGACAACACCCTCTGTTTTTATCGGGGATTAGAAAATGAATCAGTTTATATATAATTCATTGGTGGTCTGTAATAGTCCCCCACGCTTGACAGGTGGGTTGATGATTTCAGTAGTAGATGTGTGCCACTTTGAATGTAAGTAACGTAGATTCGATAAGTTACGAATTAGTTATTGCGCCATCTATCGGGAACTGCTTTCCTGTTAATTTTATCCTGATAGAAGCCAATCATTAATTGCACCGCTTTATAGTAAGACCGAGTAAAATATTTTTTAGTTTATATGAATTTATAAAGGAAAACATCGTAAGGAAACCTGCGTGTCTAAGAAATAAAATATATTTCAAGCAGGGATGGAAAAAATCATGATTTTTTTAATTTTAATCAAATCATGCTGATTTTTTTTTAAAAAATCATGATTTTTTTGATCTTTTTTGAATTTTTTGATTTTTTTGTATATTTGGAAATACACGAGTTGGTAACACTTTTTAACATAGTAGGATTAAAAGTTTATGAATACACTAGCTGTTCCTCGCGACTTCGCCTGCGTGTTATTTGGGGTTTTAGTTTTTTTGCACGGAACTCTAATTCTTTTTCTAAAATAAATGTAGCCTAGGTTACTCCTTATGACATCAGCTATCTGCCAGTGAAAGTCCCGTCAAAATCGGTCCAGCCGTTTCAAAGATTAGCCGGAACAAACAGACAGACAAAAATTTAAAAAAATGTATTTTTGTTATACGTATAGTCGTATATACTTTCATATGCGTTTAGTAAAAAGCCTTAATTTTGACATTACAAACAGACACTTCAATTTTATTTATTTGTATAGATATGTATGAAACTGATTAAGAGTAAAATAATTAATACATACTGTATTAATTACAGTTCATATACATATTAAGAGTGAACTTCTAAAAAATAAAAAATTTGATTTTAAAACTGACAGACCTCATCGCTACAGTCTTTGTTGAGTTTCCAAAGTTTATGAGACTATTGTAGTAGAATAATAAGAATAACATAAAACAACAAAAGATTTTACTTTATTTTAAGCCAGTTTTATTTCAATTTATACATGTTGATTTAAATCAATGATTTTTTTAATCAAAATCAGGCGATTTAAATCGTGATTTAAATCATGATTTAAATCAGTCTGATTTAAATCAGCCAACCCTGATTTCAAGTACATGTGATGTCTGCTAATACACATTGTGGCAGCAGGGCAAACATTTCCTTGTTCTAAAACTTAGAAATCAGAGGAGGCCTGTGTCCAACTGTAGGTCGTATATAATGTTTCTTAACTTTTTGCTGTTATTATTGTATGACACATCTCTTATGGTCTCAAAGCTTCATCAATAGTAACAAATATTATACACATTATATATCCTGTGCCAGTGTAGTACCGACGGGAATCCACTACCCCATCTCGTCCTATGGGTGTCATAAGACGCGACCGAGAGAAATGAAACAGATGGACTGCAGCATTGGTTGCTAATCCAGCTGCCAAGCGTGGCAACTATGGCCAATATACCCCGTATTTCAGCAGTGGAATTTCGGTAGACTGTAATGATGATACATTGTTGTCTGACAATAAACAGAAGGCTGTGATTTTTTTTTTCGAAATATTGGTATCCTTACGGGTGATTTATTTATGAAGGGATCATCTATACTCTTTAGTAGAAGGATATTGTATTGTTATATTTGGCTGTGAATTGCTGTACAATTAGTATTTTTTTTATAGTAATAGAGTGACAAATGAGCACAGTCCACCTGATGATAAGTGCATGCTGTGACTCATAGTGGAATGGAATTCTTCGTTTCTAGTAAAAAGGGTCTCCTGATCTCTACACTCACCACAGCAACATTAAACTGCTATTTTACGTTCGTATTCTGTAAGATGGCGTGGTATTTCTCCGCTCGAGGCGACCCATTCGTGCTACTAATATAATATAGCTGCAACATGGCTCTTAAACAAATAATATTGTCCTCGTCTTCGATCCACTAAATTAGAGCACCAGGAATAATTCTAGTCATTGCTAGTAAGACTTAGTAAATATAGTGTTGGTTTTGAAATATACTCATGTTTTCTCTTTCAGGTCCTTGAGGAAGCATATCGCGTGCTGGCTCCTGGTGGCCGGTTCCTGTGTTTGGAATTCAGCCAACTTCCAAATTCAACAATGCAATGGTAACTGATATTATGTTGGACTTTATTTTGAATATTTTTAGAAGTAGTAAAGTTCGCAAGACATTATGTACGTACACGGCCTTAAAAATATAATACTTCGAGATAATTAATAGAATCAGGTGTTACTTTGCGGTTACATTAATAATCAGAGTAAAATAAAACTACTGTATCTTATATAGTTGGAAGAGCACCTCCCGCACACAGTCAATTGTGTGTACTATCCTCGTCACTACTAATCCCAACACCACTATACGAAAAAAGACACACTACCGTCGATAACACACGTGTTTGGCCTCTAAACCAGGGATCATCGGGTAAAAATGAAAGATCGCTAAGTGATGTTGGGATAAGTGGTGACGGGGATGGTGCATGCAATTGAGGGATGGGCAGGAGGTGCTCTTCAAACTAGGTAAGACACATTTTTATTTTAACTTTAAACACATTTTAGTTACTTAATCTTTAACATCTTTAATACATCAAGCCCTAGAAAGATACTATTGTTTATAATCGCCGCTAAAAGCTCGATGTATTGTTATTATATTAGTGTTGGGGATGCACACACACAAAACAGCATGAAGTCAAAGTTAAAGTGACAATAGCACGCACATCCAGACCTGAAAATCAACTTGTTTTTGTTAGTGCTGACTAGTATTGGAAAATTTTCCGAATATATTTATATCATTCGTAATCGAATTGTTAAAACATTTTTCCATACATTATTTTATCATTTAAATTTTTTTTGAGACATTTATAAAATGAAATCTAGTCCACAAATTGACTTGAAAGGTAAGGCGACAAGGTTGTACGACATTTAGTCTTAAAGTTCTTTGAGATGACGTATCCATAGGTCAGTAGTGTTGTTTGTTGCAGCCCTCCATGGGCCATGGTAGCCCCACTTACCATAAGGAAGTTTTTTCTTCTTCTCACTATAATATTATAAATAGTAGATTTCTCTACCTTATTTACCTTCACTACATAATATGTGTGGAGGTATGTGTTATGAAGTTAAAAATTGTTGTGATTTTGTATACGTCACCTTTTAGCTTTTTCTACATTTGTGAAGTCCCCCACTTTACCTCGGCCACCATAAACAACTTGCCGTAATCAATAGACTTGAGGATTAGCGCATTGACGTCTCGTATATTAATTTAATCTCACCTTCTAGCAGATCTAAATATTACGACTGGTATAAACCGTCTATGTGCCAGACGTAGAATTTATTTTTCAAATTAAAAAAAATTATAGTATTTTTGTATTAGTAACTACAATACATTTTTGAAATCAATTATATTCTAATTTAGCAGATTTTTCTTATAGATTAAATAAACTTCTACAGTAGTCCCATATAATTTTCATTGGCAATTCAAGTCTATTTTTATTTTCCAGGTTGTATGACCAGTACTCATTTCAAGTAATACCAGTATTAGGCCATTTAATAGCCGGCCAATGGAAACCCTATCAGTACTTAGTTGAAAGTATTAGACAGTTTCCGGACCAGGTAATTTCTCATAACAGTCATACAATTTTTTACACCTAAGAACATGTTAAAATGTATGCTTCATTTTCCAGGAAAAATTCAAGGGTATGATAGAGGATGCTGGTTTTAGGCAAGTAACCTATGAGAATTTGACATTTGGAGTTGTTTCCATTCATTCAGGGTTTAAAATATAATTTGTATATTAATAGTAAATATATTTATTGAATATGATATTGTATTTTTGTTAAGGATAATAAATAAGCGAAAAAAATTTTGAAAGGTATTTATTTATTGCGTTCATCAAACTGTGTTGGTCTTTGGAATGCAGATCCAGTACCTAAATTACATTTCACACATTAAAACTATGATATCGTCAAATAGCCGACACGATCTGTCGTATTTGTATTTATTACAATTCAATATGTTACAATTTGTGATTTAAAATTTTTTGTATTGTACAATTTATTCTAATGTCTCATCTGTAACATAAACTTTGTATCCCTCGCAACAGTCACACGTAAAATAAAAATATAATGAACCGGCACACTGACTCATGCACTCGCTCTTTCACTCCCGCCATCTACCGACGTAATCGACAAGTTTTATGAAAGCTCAATAAGCATGCTATTTTATGACATCGATTTGTTAGGGCTAACACTAAATGAGCAAAGCTAAATATAAATTCTCTTCTTCAAATGGCCGTGGCGCTCCTACGTCTAGGAAAAAAATCGCAGACATCGAGAAGCAAATAAAGTGTGAGTTAAGGATATCCAAAACAAACATTAATACTCGGTATCGAGCGTGCACTCAACATAAGTTATTTGGCAAAAATTGTAAAATCATACCCAAAGATCCGTGATCCGGAGGTCCAGCGTCGAGCACGTCGACGTGATCCGTGCACAATTCCAAAAAGTTAATGTTTATTTTTTTTCACATAAAAATATCAGAGTCAAATCCGCGAAATCCGCGGTTCCAGAACTTGAGACCGCCGCCGTCCGAGATCCTTTGGTACGATCCGAAAATCCGAGATCCGTTGTTAAGATCCGAAAATCCGAGAATCCTGTGCGATGAGTGCGCGCGTCCTACCCGAAGATCCCATCCGATCCAAGTACATCCTATCCTATGGCATCCTGACTCACACCTCCAGCCAAGCACATCCAACGAGCCCAATCCACAGTGGATGAAACAAAAGAAAATACTTTTAATTATATGAAACGCAGTTGTCAAAATATATTCTACATAAGTGATACCACTCATTCTGTAAGCGACTTTCTTGCAACATATATTGACGAATCGTAGTTAACAATACAACACAATAAGCAAATCACAACTATATTAACAATTTTGTCAATAACCCATTCGGTATATGGTTGATAGTAATGTATCAAAGTCAGGGTTTTAGGTTCACTCAAACACAAGTTCATTGAATTTGTTGAATTTTGTTAAAATTGAATGGTTTATTGACAAGATTCAGTGCATAAGAAATGTGGTGTCGCCTGCAAAACAAGAAGGTATGATATATTACAGCGGATATTCTTATTATAAACATGGCAGAGCGTTAGCAAGTGAGCGTAGTCCCGGGGCTACGAGGTCGCGCGTCCCGTAGAGTTGCCGCCCGCTGCTCGCTAGCGCTGTCAATAAACATCACCTTGAATCGCACACCGGTTACACATACTTTCACTATCATCTAATCATTTTAGTCAAATAGCAAGTTTACTACACACAAGTTATGTTTAAACATCACTTATAACTCCCAAAAAAAAAATTGTCTTAGATACTAAAATTATATTAAAATTAAAAACATAGATCACATGTTGTCCGTCTGTTAGTTTGTGTGTTCAGTACAAATTTTGGAAGCGAATTTAAAATAACTTCCCAGTAGTGAGCTATACTTAAAACTGTAAACGGCCAAGAACTGGAAATGTAGTTAAAAACAATTCGCCATTTTTAATTTTTTGGGGACTAAAGAAGTGATACTTTCATGCAAATAAGTAAGATTTTCGGGTCAAGACTCAATGGTGTAATTAAACTATAACTTAGCGTCAATTTGTATGAGTAAGACCGTAGTATTAAGCAATATGGAATAAAAACTTTTATTAGTAGTAGCATTAATAACGCATTTCGTCAATTACATATTCAGTGTTGTAGCTTACAATGAAATTCAATTTCCTTGCTTTGTTATGGAATAGGAAGTTTTAATTTTATATTCAAAATTGCAGTCATAAAGGACTATCACCACTTGTCAATTGTTATACTGCAGTGATATGATAATTATTAAGGAGTAAGCAAAATAAAAATGATTAGATGTTTTCTTCCTCGCACAACTTCATTGTGAAATCGATTATCACCAGCTATTTTTCCGGACCGATCCGACTTAGGAACCTTCAAGAAAAGAGCCTACTCCTTTTTAAAAGGCCGGCAACGAATCTGCAATTCCCCTGGTGTTGCAGTTGGTCATGGACGGCGGTAGTCACTTACCATCCAGGTGAGCCACATGCTCGTTTGCCCCCTCTCCTATAAAAAAAATACAATTACATATTGCTGTGTAATTGAACAAGGTTTACTACTTGTATCACACGATAGATGCCACGAATTTTATTATATCAATTGTCTTCAGGGGTCTAAAACATGTAGTAATAGGGTTAAGATTTAGAAATTTGAAAAGTCCTGACAAAAAGCTTGACATTTCAATAAAAGTCTGAACATTTTAGTCACAAAATGCAAAAATTATAGGTTCTATGATAATTATAACTAGACTTTATGTTTTATTAGTTACATTTTTTTGCTTACTTAAGGTAAATTCTTACAGATTCCTTTTGCGATATTTTGCAGCACATGTAATAAGATGACATTTTGACACAAATTATAGTCAAAAAGAAAAAAAATAAAGCTAATAAAATAAAGTCACCAAATATGTGTAATAAAAAAAGAAAACTATAGAAAAAGTCTTGTTTTCATCAACTTCATTTAAACTATTTATTACTGACTGTTTCCATAGTAGTTTCATCTGTTGTACTGAATAAATTAAAGTAAAAAATTACTAAATATGTATGACGTAATCTAAATGTTATAAAGTACAATTGTATGTAAAACAGTTTCTTGTATCCTTTAGCTTTGGCTGAAAGAAATGTATTCATTATTGTTAAATGTCTCAAGTAAATTTTACAATGGTGTTCACAAATTTATTCAATTAAATAAAGGACATTAGGTATATGTGCTAAGACCATTAATGTCATATAAGAAAGTAATAAAAACATGTCACTACCAAAGTTACATTTTGGTAGGAACCAGCCATTGTTCATTAGTAATTTTAAAATAAAGAACTTTCCATAGTAATTAATACCTAAATATTGGTTATTAATTAATGAACACTACATCATATACTTTTTCTTCCTATAAAAAAGTATTTGTGTATGAATGTATCTGCGTTCAGGTGTTTGTATGGAATATTTTCCTGTCAGAGCTTGACTACAAAACCACTAAATGCTCATGTAGCTGAATACGATAAAATACACTACTGGCTTATTTTAATGACAGCCTAATCACTTCTGCCTGGAAGTGGGTCTTCCAGGCAGAATATTGTTTGTCTTTATTTGCTTGCATCTGTACATGTTTCAAACAATAACAAGAAAGTTTCTAATTCTGTTGTCTTTCTGTTTATTATTATGTAGTAATAGGTTAGTAGCTTATAGCCGATAATGCCTATATTTGTGTTGGTGTTTTATAAAGTCCTAGTACACCAAGAATGCACTAAATTGGATTGTCTGCACCATTTGTCCCATCTGTTTTTAAAACTAACAACAGAATGAGCATCAACCATATCTTGAGAAAACTTGTTCCATATTTTTATGTTTCTGTTGTTTAGTGTGTAATGGCAATCTTATATAGTTATAATGTCTAGCTCGGTGGATACTGCTGATGTTAAAAACATGTGACAGCTCTTTGCTCATAATTATATTTGTGAGAAAATATTTTTGCAGTGTCAATAATGGCTCCACTGATACGGCGAGATTTCAACGTAGTTAGATTCAATATTTTTAATCCCTCTTTGTATTGCTTTTTGCAAAGGCATAATGAAATATTTTTGGCTTTTTTTGTACACTCTCCAGCAAATCTACATCCGTAACAAAATAGGTGTTCAAAATTAGAAATGCATACTCTTATCAATGGTCGGATGTATGTTTTATAGACTTTGAGCAATGCATCTGAAGTCAGATGCAGAAAAGATCACCTGATTGCATACAAAACGCTGTTTGCCTGCTTGCTAACGCTATGGGTATGGTTTGTAAGTGATTGTCATGCATATCCGTCTGCATGTGTATTAGTGTGTGTGTTTGTGTGTAGACAGGGAGGCTGTAGTGGCGACTGACCTGCTCAGTAGTTGTGGTCGCGGCTGCGGCTGCGGCTGTAGCTGCGGCGCACCGGCGAGTAGGTCGGCGAGCCGCGGCGCCGCGGCGAGTACGACCTGGACCTGCCCGACGCACCTCTATATTGTTCACATATTCACATGTTCTCATTCGGCGTGTTATTGTTATTTTTAACCATATTATTATAAAATAACAGAGTTAAACTATAACATGAAAGTAAATTAAGTTGTTTTGGCGAACCACCGAGTATAACACTTAACACAACAAACACACTATAACCTAAAATAAAATATTAATATAAAAAGATATTAGGTTCTTATTAAAAAGTATATTTACAAAAACAATGAGACTAAATGCCAAATATCAAAACAAAGCAACCATGATTCCCACCAGAGAAACTATAATGGAGGAGAGCAAGATCTGCAACCTTATTTAATGTCAGTTGCACTAAACAATGTTATTAAAGCTTCAAATATCCATTATTTAAAAAAAACAAGTTTATCCCTAAAATAATCTCCTTTGTGATTTAATTTATATATTGTAATTATTCATTTCAACATGTCATCAATATCTTTTTATATATTTTTTTATAAACTATATTGCAACCTTGATATAGTATGTGGATCATTAATATTAATTTGTTGAAATTTACAAAAGAAACATTGTTATCTTACAGGAATGTGGCAATTATTCTAATCTATAATTAAGTTGAAGAACTTACCTATCACGATCCCCGCTGTATCTGTCACCACCACCGCCGCCATAGTCTTCCTTAACTCGAATATAAGATACTTCACCCTAAAAGAAAATATTAAGAAGTGGAAAAGATGACCAAATGAAAACAGATCTTGGGTTCAAATATTAATTATAACGACCAAAAAATACTTTGGAAATGACTGCACCCCCAGTCTTGTGATAATTGCATTATGTATACCAGCTGCAGTCAAAGTAAAAAAGTAATGTTAAACTTGGTAATGTTAAAAATTACCAAGAACAGATTTTATGAAATTCTATCCACACAGAGCAGTGGGACGTAAAAAGAAAAAAATCTATATATAAAAATCAGTTGCAAGGATTTTGTCCAAAATTTTTTGTGTGGTGAATGGGTCTCTAGATAGTTTAGATTCACAATTAGACCCGGTAGGTGGCGCTGTTGTCGAGATATACTTTTGCCGGTTTTGTCATTTTAATTAGCATAATTAACACAATGTATTTTTTCATAACATTGAAGTGAGTTACCATTTAACAGTATACATGAGAGTAATTAACTATTTTAATTAAATTTCTATTGATCATGCTTATAATTTCAAGAACTATGGAAATTACAAATCTCACCTCGTGACTTCTAAATCGAGAGTCGTCAAGTTTCTTCACTGCATATTTCATGTCTTCATGACGGAGGAACTCTACCACACCAGTGCCATCTTTGAAAGCATCTGCAAAGCAGACATCGCCCGCTTCGCGCATGTGATCTTTAAGATCCTATCAGAAAATACATGAAATATTTCAGAATTGGTAATATTACTGGATCCAGAAATTGCCATTCTGAAGTTTTTTTCTAACTGACTACTTGATTGAAAACCTGTTCCCTCCACAATTTAAAATGACAGTTGATTTCAAAGGTTTATAAATAATAAATTTTGATATCTTTTGTTAAAATGTTCACTGTCTTGTGACCCTCACATGGGTCATTGCTATTGTGTATGGAAATTGGACATTGAAGATATTAATAAATAACAAGATTTTATTTCAAAACATTAATTCAAACAATGAGATATATTGTTTTGGAAATCCTATTGTATTATATAAGAAAACTAAATCATCTGAAAATAATATAGGTAGCTGCTTCTAACCTGCCAAGATCCAGAGGGCGGTAATCCTGTAACAAGCACCCTGTATTCAGAGCGTCTTGCAGGTGGGCCCCTGGCATTGGGTCTGGATCCAAAACGGTCGCCCCCTCCTCGTCCACCCCTTGCACCTCCACCACCACCTCCTCTTGGGAACTCCACACGTAGACGATACCCGTCGTAATCGTAACCGTCGCGTGCACGCACAGCATCATCTGCATCTCTGTAACATGATAAATTCAATTAATTTTTAACCAACTGCATAAAAAGAAGTTACTAATTTGACTTTATCTAATTATCATTTTCAATGTTGAAATGAGTTTCCACAATGATCCTTTACAAACTTCAATTAAAAGATGGAATTAGGAGCCCCTTATATTTTTTGAACTATTATGAATTTAAAAATATAATGTTGGAATTGTCTCACTGAAAGTATTGTATACTAGTTAATGAAGGCACTCTTTTTTTAATCTCTAAATAGTATAAAACCTTCCCGCCATATGTACACATAGATTTTATTAAGCTACACAATGGGTTTTGCTGCAGTTTTCATCAATAGACAATGATTCAAGAGGAAGCTTTATATTATGTGTAATACATGCATATTATATATCATATAATTCTTGTCTGTGTGTATGTTACTGAACTCCTTAAACGGCTGGACTGATTTTGAAGAAATTTTGTGTGTGATTAAGTTGATTAGAAAATGGTTTAGGTTCATAATTGGACCTGGTAGGTGGCATGTCCTTCAATTCCATACAATGTATCCACCTCTAAACATGTGCTAAATAAACACTGAAATTATCATACTGATTTCTTAAATTTTTGTGAATATTACACTTAATATAACTACTTTTGATGGCTCCGTGGCGCAGTGACTTAGCAATGAGTTGTTGCGCTGGGGGCCGCGGGTACTAATCCCACACGGAACAAGTATTTGTATAGGCTAGAAATAATTGTTTCGGGTCTGGATGTTTGTCCTCATGCAATTTATATTAATTTGTAAACTGCCTCCACAATACAGGAGAAAATTCTAGTGTGGGGGTAACATCCTTTTATAAAAAAAAAAACAAAAAGACTTTTTACAGATGTAATAAAACTTAAATATATGACTTATTCTAGTCATTGTTTAGTTACAAAATGCGTATTAAAAATTTCTGTGCTACAGATACTGATCCCTCCCTAAACTACCACAGCCCTATAATAACAGTAAATAATTGTGGACAAACAGGACAACTGAATAATAAAGAAGTTTCAATATTCATCAACAATATGTTAGTATTTCATCTTTGAAACCCAATATAGTTGTTTACCAATAAACTGCTAGTGCAATGTTGATTTCATCATCATCATCATTTCAGCCCTTCACAAATCCATTGCTGAACATAGACCTCCCCAAGGAATTCCACAATACACACTCCTGAGTCACCAGCATCCATAGACTTCCTCCAGGTCTACACTATGGAGTGACAACCTGGTAAGACCTGATTAGATGGCTAGTGAGGGGACACCCTACACTTCCGGTATGATTTTCATTTAACGTTAGGTTTCATTAATTTTTTATAACTATTAATGAACCCAATTGCTTATAAAATAAAGTTGAAATTGTTTATAACAACATTGAAGGGACATTTAAATTGCTTAAGGAGGTTATCATTATTGAACCAACATAAACATAATGCATGTTGTTTACCAATGCATTGTGTAATATATACATTTGCTATTACAAATTAATTTAATGGAGGAAAATACATCTGGGTGATTGTGGCATATTGACTAAACAACAATTGTTATCTAATATATAAAAATTAATGTTTGTTTGTTCATGTTTTATCTGCTGCCATACTGTTCATCAGATTGTGGTAAAACTTCCTCAACTTATTGCTTGCACTTGTGTAACCTTTTCTCAAGTGCAAGCAATATGGGCATAGTACAATTAATTTACAGTAGGTTTTTTTTAATAGGAAAAGGGGCAAATGAGCATGCGGCTCACATGATGGTAAGTGACTACCACCATCCAAGAGCAACTGCAACACCAGGAGAACCAGGGGAATCGCAGATGCGTTGCCGGCCTTTTAAAAAGGAGTAGGCTCTTTTCTTGAAGGTCCCTAAGTCGTATCGGTCTGGAAAAATCGCTGATGGTAATCGATTTCACAAGTTGTGCGAGGAAGAAAACATCTTCTAAATCGCACAGTGGTGGTCCACAAATCATCCAGGTGGTGTGGATAGTATCGGGAGTTCTGCCGCGATGTGCGTTCGTGAAATTTGGCGGCTGGGATTATCTGAACATTCGAACATCCAAACAACCATTCTTATGTGGTAGAGCCATGCTGCAGCTATATTAGTAGTATATATCTAGTTGATATCTATAGTTGTAGCACAAATGGGTCGGCTCGACCGGGGAAGGACCACACTCTCACAGAATACCAGCGTAAAATAACAGCTCTGTGTTTCGTATGGTGAGTGTAGAGAACCGGAGACCCTTTTTACTGGAAATGAGGCATTCCATCTGTGACAACACATCTGCATTTTGATTCGCAAACGAGGATAAATGTAAATCTATGGGCCACAGCATCCACTTACCATCAGGTGGACTGTGTGCTTGTATGTCACCCTATCCTATATAAAAAAAAGAACAATTCCTCAGAGCACTCTCCGTGGTAAATGCGAAAGAAAATGGAAAGTGATGCAACATCTCTTCACCGCGCCAATCGGTAAGGACTCTGTCATGGACGATTCGGGCTGCGGTCAAGTAGGAGCTGGCATTGGGGAGCCCCAGCCCAGAGAATGGAACAGTATTCCATGTGAGACTGAACCTGCGCCTTGTAAAGTTGAAGGCGGTATGCCGGCGTGAAATACTGTCTCGCTCTGATGAACACGCCAAGCTTTTTGGAGGCCAATTTGACATTCTCTTCTAAGTGACCACGAAACTGCACGTCACTCGATATGTCGACGTCGAGGATTCCGATACTGGCTGAGGCAACAAGGAGAGTGCCTTGAAACTGAGGAGATACGACAAAGGGGTTCCTTTTAGCGGTAAACGCGCAAACTTGTGTCTTCTGAGGATTAAACTGGACTAGATTTAGTCGCCCCCAATCCGAGACTTTCTCCAGCAAAGACTCGACTTTTGACACAAGTTTGTTCCGGTACTCGGTGACGTTTTCCCGAGAAATATTGGCACGGCCGGTGTATAGAGCATCACCAGTGCTGTTATCCGCATAGCAATGAATGCTACTGGCTTGCAACATATCATTGATATGCAGAAGAAACAGTGTTGGTGATAGCATGCAGCCTTGTCGAACACCAGTGTTAATAGGCTTGTAGCCAGAGCATACACTGTCTACTACGACCTTGATGCTCCGATCTGCAAGAAAGCTGGTGATCCAATTGTACAATTTCTCAGGAAGCCCATAGGAAGGGAGCTTCGAAAGAAGCACTTTGTGCCAAACCCAATCGAAGGCCTTAGGAATGTCCAAACTAACGGTCAATGCCACCCACTTGTACTCTACTACCTCCGCCCATCTATGAGTCATGTAGACCAGAAGATCACCAGTTGATCGACCCTGACGAAAACTGTATTGGCGGTCACTAATCAGCGGGTGATCCTCAAGGTACCGGATGAGCTGGCAGTTAATAATGGATTCCATTATTGAGCTGACAATTTGGCTGGTGATGGCAATTGGCATGTAGTTGGACGGGTCTGAGCGGTCGCCTATTTTAGGGATCGGGTGGACAAAAGCTGTATTCCATGATTATGGGACTACACCTAGGGAGTAGGAGTACCAGAAAAGACACGTTAGAACCGGTGCCAACTCTGGAGCACACGTCCTCAGCCCAATTGGGGGATTCCATCAGGCCCACTCGACTTGTGGATATCATATTGTACCAAAAATTTATTTGAAAGTAATATATCATTCAACTTCAACTAATGTATTACCATTTATTATAACTCTTCCAAATTTAAAACAATATTTCTAAAATTACAGTGGATTTTGGGTATAACGATGATGTAGGGACCACTCTATTTTCGTCGTTATATCTGAAAGTTGTTACAGGCAAAGGTAACAAATTTAATACATTACAGTTGCGACTCAGAATATCACTTTGTAACTGAACCATAAGTTTAATTCTGAAACATACACGCTTCCCTACCTACTTAGCTGATATCTATAAACAAAAGGTGAATATCTCCACACTTACTGACCATCTGTATGGATGTAAAGAAAAGATAAGTAATTTTTGTGAAAGAAAGAAATCTTTGTGTCTTTTGCGGCCAACTCCGGTCGCAATAGACTCCGGTCACAATATCTGCATGGGATTTCTAGGAATTTGTTACAAATGATTTATTAAAAACAGTCGCTACACCCGAACTCGGTGTTACTTCCAAAGTCTCTATATCCACATGAATTTTGTACTAAAATATGATTTAAATACAAGGGACTTAGATTTAACGTCGCTATAGGTAAATGGTCACTATAACCAAGGTCGTAATAAATGAAATGCACTGTATTTCTTTTGCAGCACCAACACGCCGGATACCAGCTAGTGTTTATAAACTTTGCAATTAATGTCTTATCTGTGAGTTAATATCTTCCTTTTATCACTACTGTTACATGTAGTAACTAATACACTTAGATAAAGATAATGGAATTTTCCATATACATACATACATATTTATAAAAATTGGTTACTTGGAAGGATGGTTGAAAATTATGTAGAAATAGCTGTTATAAAGTTTGTGCATTTCAATTGGTTTGTCCCATGTTCCTCTGGAACGGATATGACCCATGATGCCTATCATATCGTAAAAGTTATGTTAGGACTTTAATAAAAACTTCCAACATGATGGGATGGTGGTATAATATACAAAAACAGTGGTTTTTTTTTCACAAAATTTTACATTTAATGTTGAGTTGTGTTATACATTTTAGTAGTTCTGATATCTACGAAATTTGGGTACCTAGTTAAAACTAGAATCTACATACTATAACATGTTAGAAGGCCCACAAACAGAACACTTACTCTCTTATAACCATGGGTGGTTCTCAAGTGGCAGTAAGTGAAGTGAATGGTGGCCCCTCATTAGATGCGAGTGACGACCTGGTACGAAATACAGATAGTCGATAGGTGCAGGTGGCTCAGAACCGTGCTTTCAGGCATATGTTCAGCAGTGGACTTGTGATGGGCTGGAATTATGATGGTGACACCATTAGAAGCCACATTTTATTGCTTCATCAGTTGTAATAATTTATAATACTAGTGTAGGGCTGCCATACGTCCCGGTACACCGGGACATGTCCCGGTTTGAAGCGTTGTGTCCCGGTCAACAGGTCATTTGTCCCGGTGTGCACACAATTCGCAAGCTACCCCTGTGTAGTTAAGTGCAGCGTCTGCGATCGGCGAGTGGTTGAAGTGGAGCGGAGTCGAGCGAGCGAGCCTAGCTGCCTTCTTTGATTATTAACACGTGCGCGTAGGGTTGCCAACTTTTTCAAAGGAAAATAACGTATATTCCTTTCAGACGGTTATATACACTATAATTATTACTATTCCACCGAAACAACAAACGTTGAGCATAGAGTACAGAGTACAATATATACTGGAGACATTGACTGACACTTGACTGTACTGACAGTACAGATTTTTCGAAAGTTTTATGATAATGTATTTTGTTGTTATTCTGTTCTGTGTATGTGTGAAAGTATAAAATGATTGGAAATTCTGAGTAATGGACTGAGTTAAATTCAGAAATTTGGCAGAATTCTTGCTTTCATTCAATTCACACAATATTTCACGCATAAGTTAGAATAAAGTATTTTAGATACTTTTTTCTTATTCAAAAGTATAAAGTATAATCAAGCAAAATACCGTAAGATACGTTATTTTAAAGTATAGTTGGCAACACTACGTGCGCGTCCCGCGCCGCGTGCCCCTCCGCCCTCGCGCCTTGAACGTCACGCGTCGTCGCAGTGTTTCGTTTGATTGCTTTAGAGAACAACGTACTTAATTTGCGCGTTATCCTGTATTTCGTAGTTTAGTTTTTTTATTGCCAGTCTGGTATTTTGCTAAAAAGTCATGCCAAAAAGAAAGTGTTTGTTTTCGGACGATTATACTAAAGAGTGGTCATTCATTAAAAGAGGAAGAAATGATTATGAAGCCTTTTGTTCAATTTGCGGCTTTCATATATCTGTCAGTCACGGCGGTAAGTCAAGTGTCAAAGACCATATCCAAAGTAAAAATCACAAGACGAAATTATCAGTTGCATCAACTTCTAGAGATATATCGACATTTATGATCACGCAATGTACTGCCGAAGACATGTTAATATGCGCTGCCGAACTGACCACAGCTTATAAAGTCGTAAAGCACCACCAATCGTTTAGCTCTTTAGATTGTACGACAAAACTGAATGCCGTAATGTATCCTGATTCAAGTATCGCAGCAAAACAATCAACTGCAAGAACAAAAGCTACTGCTATCATTAAACACATTTTAGCTCCACACTCGATCGCGCAAATTAAAACAGAAGTCGAAAAAGTTCCTTTTTACGGCATTTCAACCGATTCTAGCAATCACAAAGCCGAAAAGTTATTTCCACTGCTGATACAGTACTTTACGGAAAAAGAAGGACTGCAAATTAAATTACTAAAAATAGACTCATTGCCGAATGAAACATCTGATACAATCACTTCATTTTGTATAAAATCGTTGCAGGATCAGAACATCCCCGTACAAAATATTGTTGCTTTCAGCGGGGATAACACAAACACTAACTTTGGCGGAAGAGATAGGTACGGAGTTAACAATGTTTTTTTTAAATTAAAGGAGATTTTGTCCAAAGACATTGAAGGCATCGGTTGCCCAGCGCACATTCTGCACAATACAGCGTCCACTGCTGCCGATGTGATGTCGATTGACATGGAGTCTATTGTTCTGAAAATTTTCAAGTATTTTTCCATATTCACTGTAAGAGTGGAACGGCTTAAAGATTTTTGTGAGCAAGCAGCAATAGAATACAACAATATACTCTCACATTCCAGAAGTCGGTGGCTCTCACTACTTCCAGCAATTGAACGCATACTAAAGTTATGGCTGCCATTGAAAGAATTTTTCGCTAAGGAAGCAAAAGCCCCAAAAGCTGTAGTCGATTTTTTTGCTGATCCCTTATCAGAAGTTTACACACTTTTTGTGCACAGTCAAGCATTTCTGATTGAAAAACAAATTAAAAAGATTGAAAAATCAGTTATTACCATTGTTGAAGTGAAAAATGTATTACAGGATACAAAAAAACAGTTGAGTGACAGATTGATAAATAAATATTTAGGCAATCAAACAACACAACTTTATAACAAACTAAAGAATGAAGGCACAATTAATACAAGTCAATCCGAAACATTTGACAAAGAAACAGGAGATTTCTTTAACACTGCTATATGTTATCTCGAACAGTGGACAGAGCCGATGACAAAATTTGATGTTTTCGCTTGGATGATTTTAAATGATATTCCTCAATGGCAACAAGTAGAAGAAACTACAAAATATTTAAATGAAAAGGATATAGGAATAGATGATTCAATGTATGAAGAATTTATGTACTTAAAATTGTTTATTGAATGTGAAATCAGCGATGAATGGAAAGCTAAAAATATGGAAGCAAAATGGAAACACTTTTTTGAAAAAACCGAAGAACTGGAAAGAAAAGCAAATCTTCTTAAAATGTGTCAATATATTTTTGCAATCCCAGGCCACAATGCTCACGTAGAACGAGTGTTTTCGTTAATTTCAGCGCAGTGGACGAAAGAACGAAGTTCACTCAGTGTAAGCACAATCGAAAGCATCATTCAATGCGTTTATAATTATAAAATGTCATGCACGGAATTTTATAATTACGTCAAAGGGGAAAAGGAATTACTGAAAAAGGTTAAAAGTACAGAGAAATATGAATGGGCAAAAAAAAAGGACGTAGTGTAAGAGTTTCTTATTTTTTGATTAAATTTTCTTAAATATTACCAGTGTTTTTGTATAATCCATGATTTACCCTATTTCTGTTCTAAATGTCCCGGTCGGCGTCTCGGAATTTATGGCAGGCCTATACTAGTGCGATAATTGTTCTAAATGTCTCACAAGTACATATAATACCAACATAGATATTTTTTTAATTGAAGATATATTTAGAGAAGTTAAAGGTTTTGACACGTAAAGCTATGAATAATTTAGTCCGAGTAAAAAGCTACTAAAAATACAGACTTACCTAGGATCTTCAAATTCGACGAATGCAAACGGAGGGCCTTTTCTATTTTTCAAATCAACAAATGTAACTTTGCCGAACTTATAGAACAGATCTTGGATGTCCTTTGTTCTTATGTCCGGCGGTAGATTTCCTACGTATATTCTGCACTCATTTCTATTGCTACCGCTTCCTCCAGACATTTTAAATTATAATATTAATTGATAACAACTTATAATGTGAAATTAGCAACTTAGAACAATGTGGAAAATATAAATTAGTTATACTTTATCTTTACTTTCCTGAAAATAGTGCTTGGCGCTTGTTACCAATTCAAGATGGCGATGGCATGGCGGCAAAGGCACAGACAATCACAAAAGTAAAGACAATCACAATAAATAGAAAAAAAATCATTGCTTTTGGTATTGGCTACAAGAAAAAATACGAAGGTAAACAGTGGATGACGATAATAATTCAAAGAGATTATGCAGGCTAAATAACTTGAGGTTTATATCACTGTCGAAGCACTTACTCTATCGTTTTTAAGGTTCCGTACCCAAAGGGTAACCAACGGGACCCTATTACTAAGCATACTGGAGGCTTAGTAACTGATAGACGGACGGACAGCTGAGGCAGCCTCCACTGTCCGTCCGTCTGTCTGTTAGCGGGCTGTACAGCCTGTATCTCATGATCCGTAATAGGAAAATGTAATAAGAAATGTGAAATTTTCACAGAATGTGTATTACTGTTGCCGCTATTACAACAAATAAAAAATAAAATATTACGTACTAGAAACGTGTATTACGATGATACGGAACCCTTCATGCGCAAGTCCTACTCGCACTTGGCCGGTTTTTATTTATAGTTTACATGGGCACGCAGTTACAGTTTAATAATACACAAAATCGCACCACTTTTACATTTCACTTAAATAGTATTTAAATAATATTTAAGATATACTTGGTAGAGCCATGCTGCAGTTATATTATAATATTAGCATGAATGAATCGGATCAACAGGGGAAGGACCACTATTACGGCCCTTAGTCGACTGGGCTAGGGCCCATCAGAAGCTCACTTGACGGGCAACCAGAAGGCTCGGGCCCAATGACCTATGGATAATTATTAACTAATGGCTGATAAGCAAACGCAAACTTACCGAGTTCCGGAGGTAGGGTCGACCACAAGGCAAAGTCAGGTGGTAAGTAAGTGGATGTAAAGTGGTGTGTGAAAGTGTGTAGATATAACCTGACGTCACCGATGTAATCTGTCAGCAGACCCACAGGCGCTGCTTCTCTCCACAGTGTGCGATCCCTCCAGTGGGCGCTCACCAATTGAGACTTTCTGCTTTTATTTCACTATATTAGTTTATCAATTTTATTGTACATTTAATTCACTTCAAATTTAACTAAATCAACGTTAATCGTACTTAAAACAAGTGACACACTGCACAACTTAAGAACTGTCGGTCAAAGTTCAATGTCCCATGCTCACTTAGCACAAACTTATAATTGAGCACGAACGCGATCTCCTCTCGAGTCACAAAGTTTTAGCGTTCCACCCGACAAAGCAAAAATTCCTTCGTACAATATTAAAATGTCACACAAGCAACTCGTCGACGCAAATTAACGGCAATCGAAGATAAGTTAACCACTCAAAACTCAAGGATAGCCTCGTTGTCACGTAAAACGCACGAAATAAGACAATGCAATCAGAGGCGGTCTTAACGAGACCTAACGTTCCGAGCGTAAATTCCAGGCCATCTAACCGACACGGCGGCCGCGAACAATTGAATTGCCCACACGTCTGGCGACCGAGCGGTCAGTCGAGACACGCACGCGGGGAAGGGGTCCAGGTGTTGACCTAAATACCATCGGACGAACGCGCCGAGACTAGTTTGAATGCAAGTTTTAAATGTTACGATTTGGCCTAAACAACCACGCTCACACTACGGAAGTGCTTCATTTCAAATGAAGCTCTCCCGTTGTAGGTAAAAGTCCACTGTTGGAAATGAATCACTTTCAGCAGTGGATTTTTGCTTGCTGATAAAGAATAAGAAAAAAAAATAGAGAGCGGACACTTGTATCGATTCGAAACTTAGATAAAGTATCATACACATAATGATTTCTTATATTTACGCGAAGACTACCATGGTCACGGGGGGGGGGGGCTGAGGTGTTTGACGTTCCGATGTCATAGTTAGCTCGGCTAAATACCATCAGTTTTTGAATATTAATTTTTGGTCCGATCTACGCAGAATGAGCTTACAGTATATTGAAGTCTTGCAGTGGTATGCTTGGGTTTGGATTTAATTTTATTAATTATAGGATCCCAAGCAGATGGCAGCACCCATCCATCTTTTAGATTGAAATTAGGATGTTTTTTAATTTCAATAGTCTCGCGAATCATCCTGGGTCGGAATCTGTGTTCTTTTGCGAAAATTTGTAGTCTTTCAAATCTAATGTAATTGCGGGGACGATCTGGAACATGTTCACACACTGCAGACTTCCAGGAACGTCGGTGCTTCAAGTCAGCTATATGTTCTTTCACGCGGGTTTTAATAGATCTTTTTGTTTGTCCTATGTAAGAAAGACCACATTCACAATCCAGCTTGTACACTACAGCATCTTGTAGAGGGATGGTAAACACTTGACGGATGATAAAAATTTACTAATCTTCTTCGGCGGCTTGAAGTATGTTTTAATGAAAGCTCACTTCAAGATGTAGCCATCCTTGTCTGTGACTCCACTGACATAGGGTATTACAGCAGGCACACGCTCGACTGTGGCTGATTTCACTCGGTCACTGTGATGTAGGCGCGGGATCCGAAGCTTTTTGTCTTGCAATACTTGTTCGACGTGCTGAAGCACGGCGGCCAGATGTTTTCTGTCGCAGATCCCTCGTGCTCTCTGAAACAAAGATTTTCCCACGGTAGCTAACTGTGATGGATTATGGTGCGATTCACCATTTAAATAACGGTTAATATGGGTCTTTTTCCTATACACGGTGTGAACAAGATTTCGGATGACTACAACATCTAGGAATTAAGGTGGTCTAAAAATGCAGTTACTTTGTCAGATGGTAAAATTGTGAAAGTATCGTCTAAGTACTTCTTGTAGAATCTTGGATTTACAGGAGCAGTAAGAAGGGCTTTTTCCTCGAAGTCCTCCATGAATATGTCGGCGACTACGGGAGATACAGGCGAGCCCATCGCCACACCATCTATTTGCTTGTAGAATTCTTACTTCCACTATATATAGCCAGATGTGAATGTTTGAGTAATATTGCATATTCTGTAGGCATGTTGTTATCTTCTAGCTTCCTAGTTACAATTGAGATGCAGTCTTCAATAGCCAGTCACTATTCACATGCTTACCTATTGAAGACTGCATCTCAATTCATACTCATTCATTTTAACCGTCTTTTCTGTTAAATATTTAAGGCTCAATTTACATTAATAAAAGATAAAAAGAGTCCTGCATCTCCTTTTTTGGCTCATATCTAGTTTGCACGTTACACAATTAATATAAAATATATTTTACTATGCGCAATTTCGTAACAAAAGTTCGCTTCTATTCCATTCCGCCGCAATGTAAATTGAGCCTCAGAAATAACATCCAGGTTCTGAATTTTCACGTTATTTTCTCTTTTTTTTCCTTCTTATAAATTTAAGTCTACCAAACCTATTCGAAACGTAATAAAATGTTTTATTTCTTTCATTTACCATGTTGCGGTGAATGCGCGTAAAGATTTAAAATTTAAATTGATTGACAGCAGAGCGAACGAATGCATTTTTATATAAAGCACCATATTCACGGTCCATCTTGCTGTACGTCACGCCTACTCATTGTCGTTTTTCGTCGTGCATGATCTTGGCAGGACGTACAGCAAGAGGGATCGTATACAAAGCGTTTAAAATTACAAATCTGCTCTACAGCCAGTATCCACACAATCTAGCATGCTTGATGCATATATCAGCTTTGACGTACGTCCGATCTATTCATTATCCATCAGCACGACTTAATGTATCCGGCGCATCCAGTAAGCAATTAATAATTATTATTATTGAGGTACGCCAAGCCTACACATTGTCGTTTTGCGCCGTGCGGCTCGTGCGTCGTGCATGACCTTGGTGGGACATACAGCAAGATGGACCGTGAATAAGACGCTTAATGTCATGAAATAAATACAAAATTTAAACATTTTAAAAATATGTTACTTAAATCAATATTTTATTTAGAGCACGAAAGCACTATATTTTTTTGTAAGTATACAGAACTTATTTAGATAACAATAAAATCTATCATTGAATATTCATGTATCCAGATTCTAAAACAAGAAAATTTTCGCTCATTTTATTTATTTAAGATGCTGAAAACTGTTATTAAAGAAATAATAAAAAACATTTATTTCCTTCTTGGCCAAATAAACAATACATTCTCTTTGATTTGATATGGAATAATTTTATACTTCGAACGTTTTCGAATTTCGAACGCCCTCTGCCGCAATAAGACGAAATCTGTTCTGAAAGAAGCCTGTGAAAGAATCCTCTGGAAAGTAGACATACGATCTCCGGTATCTAAATCATTACGTGAGAATATATTCTTAAGCCCGAAGTAAATGTAAGTATTTTCGTTTTAAACATTCTTCTTTATGTTCTTCTTCCATTCTAGGTGGTGAAATCAAGCAAATTTTATTGTTTCTTTTACTTTTTTGGAAATTCCGCTTGAAACGTGGATAAATTTATATGTACATGATTCTTTTTACATGGGCAACTAAACTGTTTTTATTGATTTAATTGTTAAGTTTCTATAGTGATAAACTACGCAATGCTGGAATAATGAGATTTTTTCGAAAACCTTCAGTAATATCCAAGTTCTCAATGGTTAGATTGATTCCTCATTTATTTTATAAGGTGTTTTTTTTAAATGACTGGTATAACAGCTAAAGCAACCGTTAAAATAGCTACGAAACATAATCATCAGCCTTTAAATTGCAAGAGGTAAGACGTAAAACGAAGAAAAACATTTAAAATTCGCTATTGCACTTTCTCCAGTGTTAAGTTTTCTATAGATTTTTGTAAAAGGGCGCGATGGTTTAGTCTCGATTTTCGCGCCTGACCTTTACTGCATTCTAATAATAGCATTACTGATATTGAACGTAAACAATCAATGCCGTTGTTTTACGCATGTGGAGAAATCTAT